GCGTGTATGTATGTTCTTTGGTATACGTAAAGTCTGGTTTTAGTGTGTGTGTGTGTGTGTGTGTGTGTGTGTGTGTGTGTGTGTGTGTGTGTGTGTGTGTGTGTGTGTGTGTGTGTGTGTGTGTGTGTGTGTGTGTGCGCGCGCTTTTGTGCATTTCCTACACCCGTATCTGTATATTTGCATGTGTGTAGTCCTTTTTTTTGGGTTGTGTATGTGTATGTGTGTGTCTGTCTGTCTGTTTGTTCGTAGAGACGTGCACACTTACGCTCACAAAGACTAACAAAAACAAGAGCCACGCAACTCCAAGAGGCTCGAGGACCTTGGCACACATGAGGCTCCTTCAAGGGTCCTGCGATCTGTCCCCGACGCTTCCCTAAGGCGCCTGCAACTTTTTCTTGATCTAGTTCGTAAGGTCTTACCGCCCCCAGGCGTTCCTCCCGCCCTTGCCCGGGCAGTGAGGGCGCGCACATGAGGTTCTTTGGTAAACGTGTGGTGTAATGGCTTGGTATACCCTGGGGACTGGCGTGGAGAGTGGGAAAAGGAGGAGGAGGAAGGGGAGATGGGGAGAAGAGGAAGGGGGAGGAGGTGGGGGAGGAGGAGGGAGGGGAAAGGAGGAGGAGGAAGGGGAAGAAAAGGAGGAGGAGGAAGGGGAGAAAGGAGGAGGAGGAGGGGAAGGGGGAAAGGAGGGGAAGGGGAGGAGAAGGTGGAGGGGAATAATAGGAGTAGGAATAGGAATAGAGAAATAATGATAATAGGAGGTGGAGTAAGAGACGAAGAACGAGAAGAGGAAGGGAGGAAGAAAGTAAAAAAAAAAAAATACTAATAAGAACAAGATGAAGATGAAGAAGAAAAGAACAAGGAAGAAGAAGAAGAACTAGAAAGAAGTAGAAGCAGAAGTAGGAAATGCGAGGGTCCATCACGAGGAAGCGGAAGGGAAAGGGAGCCATTGAATGGAGGTGAAGGAGGCAGGGGGGGGGGGATAAGGGCCACGACCTGCTAAGACCCGAGAGTACAAGGTGTCAGCTGTGCATGCCCGTGACCCTGATACTCAGCTTATCCTTATGGCTCTGTCGCTGTGATGGCCAGGTGCTAGGGGATAGGGGGTAGGGGAAAGGGGGGAAGGGGGTTAAGGGGGGTTGGATGATAGGGATTGATGGTTGTAGGGAGGCTGGGGGTAGGGGAATAGGAGGTTGGGGGTAGTGGGTAGCGGGTAGGGTAGAAGGTAGGGGGGTAAGAGGTATGGGAATGGGAGATCGGGGGAGGGGGTAGGGGATAGGGAGGTTAGGGGAAGGGGTAGGGGATAGGGGGGGTAGGTAGAATATATGGGCGAAGGAAGGGATAGGAAGAGAAGAGGGGATAGATGGTGGATTAAGTCTGGATGGGGGATGGGAATAGGGTGAGAGAGATAAGGATAGATGGGAGATAGGCAAAGTGGTTGAAGAAGATTAATTATACCGAACAGGAGGGATGGGATAGACAAATGAAGGGAGAAATGGCCACGGAAGAAAGAGATGATTGATAGATGGAAGGGCAAGAAGGAGGGAGGGAGGGAGAGAGAGAGAGAGAGAGAGAGAGAGAGAGAGAGAGAGAGAGAGAGAGAGAGAGAGAGAGAGAAGAGAGAGAGAGAGAGAGAGAGAGAGAGAGAGAGAGAGAGAGAGAGACGAAAGCAAAAGCTAAAACAGAAAGAAAAAGAGAATAGAAACCTATAAAGAGAGAGATTAAGAGGGAAAGCAAGAAACACGAAAACGAGAACGAGAAGGAAAGAAAAGGGAGAGGAAGAGAAAAAAAAGAGAGAAAGAGAACGAGAGAGGGGAAGAGAGGGGGGAAAATAGAGAATAAGCGGTCGGCATTGTTCCCTCACAGCTATCGTTGCACCGCCTCGTTAAGCCAATCTATATATGGGGGTCAGTTATGCGGGGGTCACGAGGTCACGGCAGAGGGCAAGGGGGCAAGGGGGTCAGGGGGTTAAAGGGGGAGGGGATGACTCGACATTCACGGAAAGCTCAAATAAAAGGGAGAAGAGAGTCTAGATAAAGATGAGAAGATGATTGAAAGTAAAGAATAATTATCTTTATTACTTGTTTTATTTTTATTTCATTTTTTTATTCATTTTGTGAAAAGCAGGATAGGAGATGAGGAGAATTAGGTCTCACTCAAAGAGAGAGAGAGAGAGAGAGAGAGAGAGAGAGAGAGAGAGAGAGAGAGAGAGAGAGAGAGAGAGAGAGAGAGAGAGAGAGAGAGAGAGAGAGAGAGAGAGAGAGAGAGAGAGAGAGAGAGAGATGAGAAAGAAGAGAGGAGAGAGAGAAGAGAGAGACAGAGAGCGGAACAAGGAATTATCCATCAGGTTCTCGTCCGAATTTATTCCCGGCCGAAGTTTTATCGTCGGGGAATTCGGCTTTTCGGTAAGTCGTAAATAATCCCAGTAAAGGCGTTATGGCCGGATATCGAGTAGATAGTGCTCGGGTTTCGGATAAGTTTACGCCGGATTATACGCTTTTTATTTATTTTTTATTTTATTTTAAAGGTGATCATGACCCTTGCTGGTGGAGATCTCGCCTCTCCGGTGTTGCTTCATCCCCCCCCCCGATAAAAAAGTGTACTCTACTTATCTCTTATTCTCCTTTTTTTCTTTTCTTTTTTTTTCTCCTTCCTTTGTTTCGTAATTGTTCGTATTTTTTTCTTCCTCCTTTATCATGCCTCTTCTCTTTTTCTCTTATCTCCTCTCTCTCGTTTCTCTTTCTCTCTTTCGTTCTCTTTTTCTCTTCTCTTTCTCTCCCCTTCTCTTCTTTTTCTTTTCTCCCCGTCTGTTCCCGTCACTCACAGGCCCTTTTTTCTACCCATATGCCTCCCCTTCCCCCCCTCCTCCCCGTCTGTCCCTTGCCTTATATGTCCTCACCCCCCCCCCCTTCACCCGTCCCTGCCCCTCACGTCATCCAATTTCCTTAAACCTCCATCTTCCCAGCCCCCCCCCCACCTCCCTCCTCCCCGCTCTCCTCCTCGCCAACATCTCGACCGGCCAGGTTCCGTATGTCACTCACTGTCTCTTCTCTCCCTCTTCCTCTCTCTGAATTCTTTTGCATCTCCGTCCATCCGTTCCTTTCTATTCCCTCTTCCTCCTTTCGTTGTCTCTTTTCATCTCCTGTCTTACTTTCTCCTCTTTCAGTCTGTTTTTTTTTTTTTTTTCTTTTTTTTCTCATATTCTACCCTCTTCTTTTCTTCTTTCTTATCCTTCCATTTTCTCCCTTCCCTTCCCATCATCCTCCTTCCTTCATCTTCTTCTTTCTCACCCCTTTCCATCTCTCCTCTTCTTACCTTCCTCCTTCCCATCTCCTTCCATCTCCTTCTCTTTTCTCCCATTTCCTCCTCCACCTTCCCACCTTTTCCTCTACTTCTCCCTTCTTCCCCACCTTCTTCTCCCATCTCCTCTCCTCCTTCCCACACTCCTTCTTCTCCTTATCCACCTTCGAGTTCCCCTCCCTCCTTCCCACTCCCTCCCTTTCTCCCCCCCCCTTTTCTTCCCACTGCTTCTCTTTTTTCCTCCCCTTCCGCTTCTCTCTCTCCCTCCCTCCTTCCTTCCCGTTTATTCTCTCTTTTCCCTCCCTCCTCCCCCCTTTGCCTATTGTAATCCACCAAGAAGGATAACGTCGCCTCAAGCCCCGTATAGCGTCTTGAGACACCCACTTTCCTCCTCCTTGCCCTTGCTCCTCGACGGCTATCGGACACCCACTCCTAAATCAGCCGTGACGGGGTTCTTGTCTCCCTCTGCCTTTTTGTCTGTGGCTGCTGGCTGTCTCTCTGGTCTGTCTCTCTGTCTCGCTTCTCTTCTCTCTCCTCCTCTGTCTGTCTGACTGTCCTCTCTCTTTCTCTCTCTTCTTCTTTCTCTCTCTCTCTCCTCTGTCTGTCTGTTTTCTGTCTGTCTGTCTGTCTGTCTTCTCTGCTTTTCAATCTATCTATCTATCTTTCTTTCTGATTTCCTTCTTCTCTCTCATCTCCCCCCCCTCTTCCTCCTCCGTTTCCCCTGTCCTTATTTCTCCTTGTACTCCTCCTCCTCCTACTCCTCATATTCCTTTCCATCCTCTTTTCCTCTCTCTCTCTCCTGCTTTGCTGTTCTTCTCTCCTCCCTCCTCCCCTTCCTTCTTCTTCTTCGTCTTCTTCCCTCTTCTCATTTTCTTTCTTCTACTTCTTCTTCTTCTCTATTTTTCCTCTTCTCTTTCTTTGCTTCTCCTTCTTCTTCCGGCTCTCTGTCTCCTCCTCCCTCCTCCTCCTCCTCCTCCTCACGCACCACCACCACCACCACCACCACCACCACCACCACCACCACCACCACCACCACCACCCCACCACCACCACCACCACCACCACCACCACCACACCACCCACCACCACCACCACCACACCACCACCACCTCCTCCTCCCTCCTCCCTCCCTCCCTCCTC